TATAGACACACCCGGTGTATTGTTTTCTACAATGTAGGCCTCATATAAGCTCCGCTCAAAGACAGGTGCGTTATCATTCACGTCAGAGATCTGCAAAGTTAGAGTAACGCTGCTGGAGAGTGAGGGCACACCTTCATCAGAGCAGGTCACTGTAATGTTATATTGAGACGCTTTTTCTCTGTCTAATTCCCCCTCTGTCACGACAGTAAAAAAATTATTCGTGGATGTTTTAATACTAAACGCAGAGTTTTCACTTAAAACACACATAACTCTACCATTTTCATTAGAATCTGGATCTTGAATGTTCAACATTGTTACAACCGTTCCGGGTTTTGCATTTTCAGGCAATGCGGTTGATTTAGACATCACGTTAATGGACGGTGGGTTATCATTTATGTCTGTGACGTCAACTATCACTTTACAAGCGTCGGACAATCCTCCTAGATCTGAGACCTGAATGTCTAACTCATAAATTCTTCTTTTTTCGTAGTCTATATTTCCGTTCAGCATCAATACTCCGTCTTCAGAATTAATTTGGAAGAGACTTGCAGCTGCTGATTTTGGAATTGTGTACATTATCTTTCCGTTGTTGTCTTTATCTTTGTCACTGGCCTTCACTGTGGTTATAATAGTCCCAGCAGGAGCATTTTCTGCAACACTTACTTTATACTCTGGTTTGGAACAAACGGGTGGATTGTCATTTACATCTAACACAGTTATGATAATCTGCATTGTTCCGGTGAGCTGAGGTTCGCCCCCATCCACAGCGGTTAATGTTAGTGATAAATGTTCATTTTTTTCTCGGTCTAGAGGTTTCTGCAAAACCATCTCTGCATGTTTAGTGCCATCAACTCGGCTCGTCGTTTTCAGAACAAAATTGTCGTTCGGTTTAAGGGTGTAGCTGCTTAAACCGTTGACACCAACATCATCATCAATTGCTTTTTCTAGAACAAACCGAGCTCCAATAAGAGCCGATTCACTGATCTCGTATTTCATCTCCCCTCTCTCAAATGTAGGAGGATTGTCATTTATATCAGTAATCTCCACTGTCACCGTGTAAAACTCCATTGGGTTTTCAAGGATTATTTGAAAATGCAGCGCGCAGGGCATTGTTTGACCGCACAGCGTTTCTCTGTCTATTCTCTGTTTAACATTTAGCACCCCTCTTTCCCGATTCAGCTCCACGTACTCATCAGTATCACCAGTGTAAATTCTAGCTTTGCCAGATTTCAATCGGTCCACCCCTAAACCTAAATCGTGAGCTATATTTCCAATTACAGACCCGCTTTTCATTTCCTCCGGAACGGAGTAACTGACCTGACCGCGCAAAACACCGAGACGGAGCAGAGAGAAAAGCAGCACCATTTGCCATCTCATCATTCCAACCGGCATAAAAATGCTTAAAATTAGAAAGCCTTCGTCCTCTTCTTATCTCTGCTGTTCAGTTTTGAATAGTACAAATGATGGCGAGGTCCCAAAAACGAGAATAAAATAATCGGCAAAACAAAGGGGTCTATTTGTGCAGACCTGCCTCCTGCTTTTCACGGCGATCCTGGTTGTTAACTCTGCCACTCTCTTCCTCTCAATGCAACGTGCTGACGTTTAGGAGAGCACAATATGAAAACCTCCTCAGCAACTTGATGGCAAACAGCGTCCTTCACTGTTCAACAAAATGAACTGCACTACGTCAAACATTGCATATCTCAGTACTTTAATAGTTCATTTTAAAGAGATCACACAATCACAGTGTCGTTTAACTACCATCCAGTGAACACATTTCAGATATGTTATCATGTTTATACTGAAACAGGATAACATCTCTACTGACATTCAATTCAGGTAATTGAATTAACATGTGCAAGTGCATTTAATGACTCAGAAAAAAAAGGTCCAGATTAAATCATTCCTAAGATATCAAATTCATATTTAAAAGTTGCGATTTCTAACTTGTGAGGGCAAGCAGGATGTTAGAGGGATCGCACATAGTTGTAACATGGGTCAGTTGTAACACTTGCAATTCCCCCAATCAGAAAAAGGTTGGAAAAGATCTGACTCACTCTGCAGATTCTCACTTTAGTCTGTAGTTCACTTATGAAGAACTTGCAACCTGTGACAAACATTTAAAAAATAATCATGTGAACATAATTTTTAGGTAAAAAAAGTATTTTTTGGGGTGGGGGAGTAAATAATTTGTGATTACATTCCCTACTTTATAGTTTAAATTGTTAAAACTCATTTGTGTTGATTCTGTTAGTTTGCACATATTGTTAAATATTAGCCGTTAGTTGCAAGACTAGCTAGTTCATCACTAGTTCATCAGCAATGTGTTAATTCTAATAAACATGTTGCAGTAAGTTGTAACATATTAATCAAAGTTATAAAAAAACAAAAAAAAAACAAATTTGATACAAGTATAAATAAAATAAAATATATTTTATTNAAGCCCACTTCAAACAGCGCTCTGTCTGTGGCTTTCTGGAGTTTATAGGAGAGCCAGGCATTCTGTCCAGAGTCCACATCCACAGCCACCACTTTAGTCACCAGGTAGCCCACATCTGCTGAACGAGGCACCATTTCAGCCACCATGGAGCCACCAGTCTGGACTGGATACAGAACCTGCGGAGGGTTATCGTTCTGGTCCTGGATCAGGATTTTGACAGTCGCGTTACTACTGAGTGGAGGAGAGCCTCCATCCTGCGCTCTTACTGTAAACACGAGCTGTTTTATTTGTTCATAATCAAATGAGCGTACTGCTTGTATTACTCCGCTTTCGGAATTTATTGACACATAAGAAGAAACTGGACTACCACCAACTACAGTGTCCTCCAGAAAGTATGATATTTTTGCGTTTTGATTCCAGTCTGAATCTCTTGCACTCATACTGAATACTGAAAGCCCTGGGGTGTTATTTTCTATTATTATTGCCGAATAATTTGGGTTTTCAAAGATTGGCGGATTGTCGTTTACATCAGAGACTTTCAGATACAAAACTGCAGACGAAGAAAGCGATGGAGATCCATGATCCATTGCGGTAATTGTTATATTATATTCAGGTGTTGTTTCTCGATCAAGATACGAATCTAATAGTAAATTATAATAATCCGTGAGGGAGGACTGTATTTTAAAGGGAAAGTTGGATTCAACTGAACATTTTATTTGCCCGTTTCTGTCAGAATCAACATCTTTTACATTAAAAACACCCACAGTCGTACCTGAAGGTGCGTCCTCTGAAACTGTGTTTGAGAAAGACATTATACTAATAACTGGTGCGTTATCATTAGCGTCCAAAACGTCGATTGTAACTTTTGTTGCGTCAGTGAGACCTCCCTGATCTTTTGCGATTACTCTTATTTCAAATTTCTTGTCTTTCTCATAATCAATACTGCCCACCACAGTTATTCTGCCAGAGAAGCTGTCAATTACAAAAGCAAAATTTCTTTTTACATTGGAAAAGGAATACGTAACTAAGCCATCAGAACCGCTGTCTGCATCTGAGGCATTTACCGTTGTTATGTATGTGCCTATAGGGGCGTTTTCCATCACAACAGCTTTGTACACTAACTGACTAAATTTGGGAGGATTATCGTTCGCATCGAGGACATTGATCTCAATATTTACTGTTCCGGAGCGCTGCGGAGTTCCTCCATCTACAGCTATCAGCTTTAAAGAGACGTGCGGGTTCAACTCTCGATCTAATGGCTTCTGTAAAATCATGACAGGAAATTTTACTCCGTCTGCGTTTGAATGCTGCTTCAAAACAAAATGATCATTCGGTGAAAGGACATAATTTTGCAAACTATAAATACCCGCATCAGGATCATATGCGCTTTCTAAGTCAAAGTGGGATCCTATCGTTGCAGATTCGCTAATTTCTAAATTGATCGATTTGTTTTTGAAGGTCGGCGCATGATCATTGACGTCTAGTATTTCCACGGTGACTCTGTGTAGTTCAATTGGGTTTTCTAAAATGATTTCAAAGCTGAAACTGCACGGCGTTACCTCTCCGCAGAGCTGCTCTCTGTCAATTTTCTCATTCACGACTAAAATCCCTTTGTCCGCCTTCAGCTCGGTGTACTGGTTGCTCTCTCCGCTCACGATACGGGCACGGCCAGAACGCAGCCTACTCAAATCCAAACCAAGATCTTGTGCAACATTACCGATAACAGAACCTTTCTTCATTTCCTCTGGAATTGAATACCGGATTTGGCCGTCAATGGACAACGCCATCAAGAGAACAAGAAACAGTTGCCACAGAGGAGTCCTGAGCAGCAGAAGCCATTTTCCACATCGATGCTGGTGGGTCTCCATCAGGAAAGATGACAATACCGAATTTAGATCCACTTAAGTTAGTCAGGTATGAGCAAGCTGAACAAAAATCAAAATCCTCTGCATCTAGGTCGGACAAAAAACGATCGCTTCTCGTCTAACGTATTGCTCCTATAACCTTATTCAGTGTGAGGACGCTTTTCTCTGTCTCCTTTCTCTCCTCTTCCTCAGTTGCAGCATTACTTCAAATGTTTTCTTGGCCAACAGCGTCCCTTAGAGTCTGAACAGCGTAAATAAAATTCATTTGGAAGAACGTTTAACCAAAAGCTGAAATAAAAGTGTATTACTTATATGAGTTAAAATCAAACCGAAAGCCACACAATCGCTGCAATTTCATCATATCAGTGAGATATGTTCACAGAAAGCATAAGCTTCACACTATATGTAGTCAAAAGCATATTAAAAAAATATATCCAGTCATACTATAATATCCGAAGACAAGAATCTGTCAGATGACAAAAACAAACAAACAAAATAAATAAATAAATTATTAAACGTTAACT